GGAACTCGGAACGCTGGCGGGTGAGTGTCAAGAGGACATCGCACGCTCGATGTACAATTAGGGTTTACACTCGCCATCGGCTGCTCGCAAGTCCCAGGTAGAGTGTACAGTGTAGACAACCAAATCAGCATAGTACAACGATCATGCAATTGAATAGTGCATAGGGTATGGTCTCACCTGCTCCCTCAATCAGGACGTAAGGGGTGGCACGACAGCGTGCACTACCGAATCAGCACACGACGATGAGGGCAGGGGCCCAGGTGTGTATAGAATTGAGAACGCACAAAGGTGTACCAAAGCATAGCATGTGTGGTGGTGATGGTGATGGTGTGGCCGTCACCAGCCGCACTGTTGGTGCGATGACGAGCCGCAGCAGCTGATCGACCAGATGCCGAGCCCTGATCAGAGCAACATTTGATAATATAAAAGCGAGGTACGTGGGGGGGGGGTATGTTTATCTACAGAGAAGCGGTATTGCTACACTTGACAGCATCGATATATATATAAAGGGACGGCTGCAAACATCAAAGATTCAAGCACGAGCTACTTTTCATCTATAGACAACGTCACTTCACTCTGGAGCAGGGGAGATCGTTTGAAAGCGGTGGCGTCTACGGTGAGGTAGGTGTCGGGTGTCGATTGTGCGCGCCTGGATTGATCACTCTGCAATGTATACCACACACCTGCTTGGTATGACGATCGCCAACGCAGGCAGATCTTCAATGTAGGCCCCCTTTGCGTCCGAGGTCGCATCCCTGGGTACCCAACAGAGCGTGCACAGCCGCTTCGGCGCATCACATTGGTTAAGATACTTGCCCACCTGCAACTCTTTTCCATCGCTGTCTTCCTTTTCCATTCCCCTCCTTTTCTGCGGATCACGCAGATGACTTCGGTCGCCATGCGTTGTGTCAGAAACCAGCTCAGGATCATCATTGAGTGGCCGTGATCGGTCTAGCGACCATATCCTGAGCCGGCCATCTGCTCCCAGAGCCGCCATAAGGCGTAAGTGAGCATGTGTGATGAGCGGCAGTGTGAATGAATATTCATTCTGGTGGCCTTCGAAGTCGAGCAGTCTTCGCGGAAAGGCAGCGGGCGAGGCCGTCACAATGCATCGACGTTCGCGTGGCTCCGTCACATCCCACAGGCTCAACCCCCCGTTGATCTCAGCGATGAGCAGCTCTTGCCTGCATGCGACCGGGTTGTAGAGCACATCCAACTTTGTGATCGTTGCCAAATTCTCTTTCCCGGCCAGCTGCCAATCGAGCACGGCGGTATGTTTGCCACCACCGCCATGAGCAGAATCAAAGGCGATATGCCAGGCTTGCACTACTCCGTTGCGAAAGCCGATGAAGACTGTCCCCTCGTTCGTGACTTGAACGGCGGTGGGGTCGCTCGCAACCTTCGCTGTCCCTAGACGAGTCCGAAGCTGTGCAATCAACCGCCACGAGCAGCGTTGCTCCACGTCGAGAAAGATCTCGAACACGCGTACTATGTGATGGGATACTGAGGGAAGTGCCAAATAACTTTCATGCGTCAGCCCAGTGCCGACGCGAAATGAAGAATCATCGATGGCACCCACTCTTCGCGACATATCTGCAATTATCAGATATCGCACCTTCCCCTCTGGTATCCCCATCCCATATCGTTGCATCCCACTCGCTCAAAACCTCCTGGCGAAGCATTATGCGCTCCTTTGAAACGTTCGCTGCGAACACAAGATGCCCGTTGTGGACACTGTGATTGCATTTAGAGTTAGTGTTCAAAGCGAATCCCAGCGGCGGTCAAGTAGTCACTCACACGAGGATGTCACCATGCATCTGAGCATGCAAACTATCGCATATCATGCCTTCGTGGCACCGGAGATGCGCGACCAACTTTGGTTCCTCGTTCGACGTATCGTAGAGACTGAAGCGTGCGGACCGTGGAACCGATCAGCAACTTGCGCTCTCTAACCAAGGCCTCGCATGCAGCTCACACATAAGAGCTAAAAGACCCCACGGAAAGCCTTCCCTTGAACATTCGGCCTCCGCTCTTGCGGCCAAACACGCCACTTGACTGCCACCAGGCTGCTGGAAAGATCTGACGGTGCAAGGTTCATATCAGCCGCATATTGACCTATCTCAAAGCGCACACGGAAAAAAGTCCAAGCCGCTAATGCACATACATGGGTCCAAAAAGTGGCCGGCTGACGACCTGAGTGGTGAGAGGACACGATCCGCATGCGACTCGCAGCATGCTCCAGTGCTCGTCTTGGGAAGCAAGGCCACAGGTGGATAGGGGCGCCATTTCAGTTTTCATTCATGTGCTGACTCGGACGAGGACGATTGTCGCTCAAGGCTTACTCTCTGTATGCGGCTCTAGCGGTAGAAGAAGCCCCCGTTATGAGTTTGCCACTCTGTGCTTGCAGCCTGATCTGTGTGAAATCTGCTGCTACTATGCATGTGCTCGTATCACCTGACACTCGCGGTGAGAATTCGCCGCCCAGCACTTTGGGTTGTATGTACCCGATTTCGTCGAGGAGTTCTAGATCGCTGACTTCAACTGTTGAAGTGGGATCGCCGTATACAGCAACTTTGCGTCTTTTGCGACCGACTGGTACGTCCGCTGGTTGCTTGCCTTTCCCACTGTGGCCGAGATTCTTTTTGGTACCGTCCTCGACGCCCCTAACCTTCGGATCCTTTTTGAAGAATCTTCTCTTGACTGCGTCCCATTCATATCCAGGCATGGCGAACGGCGGGGCCGGCGAGGTGTTGGGTGCTGACGAAGGCCCTGCTGCATCCGCGGCAGCGGCGCGTGATCTGTACACCATGCCTGGCATATTCACGACGTTCTCGACAGCGATCGCTTAAGGCCTTTCCGCGCCTCCTTGTGTCTTCGTCTCTCGGAGCCGTGGATCATGGATTTCGGACAACACTGGAAGCCATAGCGCGCTTCCCCGCAGCTCTCTGCCTCTTGAGGATGCACAGATAGCATGGGGCGCTTACAGTCTTTCCAACTTCAGCAGCACGTCCAGCTCTCAATGCATTCGAGGAAAATGGGTGTATCGTCCGGAACAATGCCCGGAAGCGAAGCAAAATACATGTGAGAACCTTCAGGAATAGTTGTAAAATTCACACTTTTTGGACTGAACTCTGGCGGGATATGCAAACTTTTAGGTCATTTTTGCGGCTTGTCACGACCATGTTTCGTTTCGTTGGAAACATGACAAAAACCTTGAAGTATCAAGTGGTTCATTTACAAGCTTCCCCACTCCGTGCGGCTTTCACACATATGTCACACTTAGGTATCACTGTCCACCTTGTGTTTTGTATTCCTGTCGTGAGCGCATACATGGAAAATGCGGCTGTATATTTACTGTATCGGCCCGATTGACTGCCCAAAGAGACTTGTAACGAGGGTAATGATTGTATCCGCGATCATGTATCCGCAGTCGAAACGACTTTCTCGTTCACCGCGATGACCTCCCAAACGCGCGCGCTAAGCCTCAAGGAACGGCAGGACGGCCTGCAAGAATCCCTGCGGACTGTCGCACATCGGCAGGTGACCAGCGCCCTTGATAAGTTCAAAGTGCGCTCCGCCGCCGAGCTCAGCCTGCAGCGCGCTGAGCGCTTGCGGGATCTTGCCGTCCAATTCGCCGGCCACGAGCAAGACGGATGCACCTTTGCAGCCAAGCGCGGCCTTGAGCCCATCAGCGTAAAGGTCGTACGACTGCAGGGCCCTGGCGCCCGCTACGAAGCCCTCGACCGGAGTGTGCACGACCATGTTCTTCACCTTCTCCCTCGTCGCGGGTAGGCACTTGTTGCCGGCCTGCACATCGAACCACCTCGCGACGGTCACATCCGCCAGCTTCCCCATCCCTGCGGGCCGGTCACCGTGCTCGGTCGCATCCGAAGCGCCACGCGCAAGTTTGATGCGCTCGTCCCACGCGCCGATGTTTGCCGCAGGCGTGAGGGGCTGCGTATCGCACGCGACGACCTTGTCCACGAGCGCAGCGTGTCGGATCGCAAAGGACAGTGCCGTGGCGCCGCCCTGCGACACGCCAATGACGGCATGCAGCTTCGGTACTCCAAGCGCTTGTACGATGCTCGCTGCGTCGTCAGCGAGCGTGTGTATGCTGCAGTCGTGGTCCGGGTTCGGCGGAACGTCCGAGAGTCCATGCCCTGCTTGGTCGTAAGTGATTACGTTGTACGTCTTTTTAAGCGACGGCAAGACCCAGTCCCACATGCTTTGGTTAGTCATCAGGCTGTTAATTAGCAGGATCCAGGGTGCCTGGAGCGATGCAAAATGCGCTCGGACGGCTCGAATTTGTGGTGTTTTGTCTCGCCCTGGGACGGTGATATATCGGACCTCGCTGGCATAAGCAAGCGTGGCGTCTGGCACGCGCTTTGGGAAGGTACCATCTCCATCTGCTGTTATGGTGACGGCGTTGGGTGCAGATTGTAGCGGGACAGCACAAGGGGTGTTGGCTTTGTCGTCGATGTCCGTCGCAACGAGGAAACGCGACACCATGTTGTAGGTCGCCACGGTTGCGGCAGCCTCGACCAATTTCTCGTTCAACAGCGTTTCCTTGTCGGCGCCTGCATCGCCTTGCATGGCAATGCTCTCCTTGAGCGCTTCCTTTAGCTCTCCAAACACTGCGTCGGGGACCTGAACATGCGCCGTCGATGCCTCTGCAAAGGCCAGAGCAGCATTCTGCAAGCGCGAGAGGATATTGCCGGCACCTGCAGACGGGTTGTCTGCCGATGATGGGTCAGAGAGAGATGTTATGGAGAGGGACACGTCTCCGACGCGTGCAAGCTGCTCGTTGGTCAATCCCGCTTTGCGAGCGACGCCTTCGTGGTGCGACCACTCATATGCGGCTCGATTGCGTGCGGCGACCCGGAGGATCTGCACGTGCCGTGCGAGCGGGGGCATGGTTGAACCTTCCGTCAACGGAATGGGTAAAACAAGATTGAAGCGAACGCACCATGATCTCTCTGATATCATCTGGAAGGCTGCTCTTGGTCCTGATGGCTCCGAGAAGATTGTTCCACCCAGCTGCAATCGGACTTGAGTTGAGCAGCATGCCATCGAGCGGCGTCAGGCCGCGAGCCGCTCCTCTTCGCTCGCGGATGGCATCGGCCACGGCATCGGTGCCGGCTGCCGGGTAGCGGTAAGGGATGCGTGGCATGCGGTGGAAGCGAAGGCTCTGAGAAGCTCCTGTGGGATCTGATTAGGGGTAATGCGGTGATGTGGAAGAGCACTTTGGGAGCGATGCGATTGATATCGTATCTATGCTAGTGTTGCTAGACACGTCCATCAGCCAATAATCAACCGTGGCAAGGGCAAAAGCCACAGGTGGGCATCGCTGGCACCTTCGCGCGCGAAACGCCATGGTTGGTAGGAGATTAGGGTTATGAGAGGCGAGCCTGTCACGAATCAGCCGAGCACACACCTTGCGCAACAATTTAACGTACACCTCACGACATGCAGCATAATTTCTGGCGGCCCTTGGCAGAATTCAATGAGTCAGTCGCGCAGCGCGCTGATGGCGATGTTCTCAGCCGACTATCCGGGCTATGCACATGTAGCTCAGTCGGCCATTGCGTTCGGAAGTCTGCCTGGTCACACTCGACTACATGGATGCTAACGACGATTTTGATGTTATTGTCTTCCTTGAGCGAAGCTGCCCGTCTGGAGCAAGCTCTTGTTTGAGGTACGAAAATTGAGCAAAGATGGTGTAAGACCCAACATGACCGCCATTTCCGAACGGTGGCATGTCTAGCGCTAGACTGGAGCGCCAATTTAAAGGCTTGCACTATGAGAGTCCACTGCTCATCCTGGAGCATACCCAATTGTCCTTCTCGAACTCGATTTCCTTCCAATGGACCGTCTTTCCTTCACAATCCGGTCTTCCACAGTCGCTGATCACCCCCTTGATCTTCTTGATGGTGTTATCTTCAATTGCATCTTCGGATTGCATTTTGTCGGGTTTCATTCGGAACACGCGCACGCGCACGTAGAGATGAAACGAAGGGGAGGCAGCAACGTGTCCAATTGTATGTTCTCGGTCGGCCGGTCTTAGACCCATTGTGCCACGTTCTCGTCGGTGACAGTGGGAGACGGGATTGGTGAGGAAAGACGGTCTATTAGAAAACCATCGAGTTGAAAGGGATGAGAAGTTTGCTCTACGATGAGCCATGGACGCATCATAGTGCAAGTCTTTGAATCGGCACTCTGTCACTGGCCGACCGACGGTCGTCACGAGGAGCGGCTGCCGAAGCATTTGGCCACAACGGCAAGTGTAGCAAACACATATCAGATTCGACATCCATCAGTCAGCATCCTTTCTTTAATATGTGCAGCAAGCTTGCGTGTGCAACACCCTTCTCGCATCGCATAAATAGTAGTCACACCAATCTCATCGCATTCCTTCAATGTATGTAGTCCCCAACAAGTGTAATGCATTCTGTCCAGAAAGTGACTCGCACCTGATCACTCTGTTTCCGGCACTCTGTTCTCTGGAGGCCTTGAGTCGCCTACCACAAGCGAGCCACGGTGGGGCGGCGAGTCCCAAGTCATCGATCTTATGCGCACGCATTCTAATTCTCAGCTTTTATATCCTCCTTCATTTGCACATTGATCCTTCGAACCCTTCAAGCACAGCGACTTTGCTGCGTGGGTGCACATGCACTTCCTTCGTAACTGGGTCGAGCGGACGAACTCGCGGACGTTGCTCGTTAGATTCGTACACGATGCAATTGTACGCAGGCGACCCGCCTGGCAGTTACGTGCGCGAGAAGTAGAAGCGAAGCGTTTGCAATATTTACGAGTGTATCGTTCCCAATCAAGCTTCCTCGAGCCGCCAAATAAGCGCAATACATAGCTGTGCCAGCGTGGGCACAGACTGCTTATGCCTCTCCGTCCCCCTAGTTGCCCATGTGTGGTCCTGCGTGCCTTTCGCAAATATGTAGCTGGGAGGCGTGACTCTCATCAGTCCAGTGGCAAGAGGAGTTCCAGAGAGGCTGAAGAGTAACCATTGAATTATTGTAAATGACGGGAAGGAACACGTGATCATGCCTTCAACCCTCCCGTGACATGGGCCTCACCATTGACGCATCCACCAGCCACTTCCCTCTCCCCTCTTGTCACTTTTGCTGCATTGAGGATATGCATCCGTATGCTCCTTAGGCTATGAATCTAGTCATTATCCCTGCCTTCGTAGTGTCCCTCGGCACCTCGGCGCAATGGTTCATTCTCAGCGCCCACACTCCCCAAAAGAATCTCATCGCCGAAATTGCATCATCGAGGTCCGATTTGCGCAACGTCAACTCCGAAAATCGAAGGGGTGCTGGGCATGGGAGCAGTGTACCTGGCCTCTGCCCGGCAGTCACGGCATCAGGGTCACTCGTGCGAGAGAGATTCTAGCCCCTTGCCGCCTCTCGCCATCCCGAAAAAGCTAAAAGATTCTGGCTAGGCGACACATTTCGGCCGAGTCGACAAGGCCAGTGTCAGCTCGGGTATATATATATATATATATGTGCTTCTGACGCTCCCGTTAGCTCATGTTCACCCGCTTCCTCAGACATAGCGTCTGTCAGCGAGTGAATGACACGCCTCTGCATCAAGAGCACGTAAAGGAACGGCGCACAAGGGCAAAAGGATGAAGCTTTTCCACTCGGCCACCCTCACAGCAGCGGCTCTCGTGGCCGCCGCCGGCTGCGTAAATGGTGAGCTTCTCAGCTTGCTGATGGCGTCTGCTGTCTCTGTCGTTTTCTGAACAACCTCCCCCTCCCTTAATGACCAGCACACGGCGGCCCCGAGACGAAAGGCGAGCTGCAAGAGTTCATGTCGCGCCAAGAGTCTGCGTACCACTGCGCGCCAGCAGTAGCCGCCTACACGGCCGCACGCAAGCGCTCCTGGGCTCAACGCGTCCTGGGCGGCGACGCACTTGCGCACAAAAATCTCTTCGTCGACGGCTACTTCCAGGAGCAGATGGGTATTGAAGGCCGCGCGGAGTCCCTCGAGGCTGTTGGGAAGCAGCTGATGGAGTGCAACCCGGTGCAAGCGAGCAAGATACGCAATAGCACGTGCGTCCTTGCGCCAGAAGTCACCGAGGGACCCTACTATCACATCAAGGGCCACCCAATCCGTAGCAACTTGGCTGAGTACCAGATCGGTCTGCTCTTCCTCATGAACGTCGGCGTCATCGACGTCAACACGTGCGAGCCCGTACCAAACGTGCTCGTCGACCTGTGGCACGCAAACGCGACCGGCTCCTACGGAGGCCACCCGGATCCGCGGCCGGATCTCGTCAACGAGCAGCCAGCCGCGGACGGGGTGCGCAAGGGCCTCCTCTCCGCATACCCCAGGACCAAAGATGACGAGACCTGGCTCCGCGGCGCTCTGCCGACCGACGCGAATGGTGTCGCGGAATTCACATCCATTTTCCCTGGATATTACACAGGGCGAGCGACGCATGTGCACGTCAAGGTCCACCCGGACTGGACGCAGCTGCCAAATGGAACGTTCATCAGCAGCAAGGTCCTCCATACTGGCCAATTATTCGTCGAAGACAGACTCAACGAGGAGATCGACAAGATTTGGCCGTATTCGGAAAACCCAATTCGTACTCTTCCAGGTGAGAGCATTTCCAGCAGCATGGAGCCCCATTTATCTGCCGTGCTGACTCGGGCTTCTCCCCCAATGCCATGGTAATTTCTGCATCTGCAGGCCGCGGCCGCACCCGCAACTGGGACGACTCGCTGCAGGTCTACCAGGAAGCGCAAGCGAATGGCTACCAGCCCACGTTCGACATTGAGTTGCTCGGCGGCGTGGTAACGCAAGGACTGATCGGGTACATCACCCTGGGAATCAACATGAGCGCGCCCGGCTATGTGGGTAAATGGAACCCGGAGAGCGGGAAGGCTGGGAGCCTCTGAGGACTTGTGCATCAGTCGGAATCCTGTAATTTCACCACAAAGGGGTGCGTAGAGCATCGGTATTGACAGAAGGCACCGACGAGGAAAGAGGTCCAAGTGAGACGCATCGTGAACGCTCTCCGCTCGGCAGATCTCATTGGCGATGTACGAGTCGAGGAACCAGCTAGAACGAGAGACAGAGGACAGCGGGCAAACGGGAGAAGACGCGTCCAAGGTGACTTTACTTTGGATGCGGAAGGATACACTGACATCTTGTGAAAGGTGTGTGGTGCGAAGTGGACGATCTAGCTCAGCTCATGCGATCACTGGAGTGACGCGAGCTCAAATAAGTGCTATTAAAAAGGAGAAGCCACTTGTCCATAAGGTGTGACGAAGAAGGTGAACTACTTTTCTTACTTCATTGGGTACGGAAATCAATGAGTTGACGACACACCCTAATTGCTGCTGAGAGTCTGGGCGAGCTGGTCGAAATCGTTGACGAGACCGAGCTGGCCAATGAGACTGCAAGGGTGGAGAAATATGATGCTGTTAGCAGCTGTCACAAAAGAGGCAGGAGAGAGAACGTATTCAAAGCTCGCGTGTCAAGGCCGAACTTCTGGATCGGGTCGCCGTCGAGGTGCAGAACGAGGCCAGCGGAGGGCGCAACGACGCCCGTCAGTAAGGGTTGGCGAGGCTCAAGGAGTCCGGGGCCAGGGAGAGCAGCAGGTCCACTGCGGCAGCAATGAGCGAGTACCGGGGGCGCGAGGACAATCACAAGGTCAGTGATACTCGACAGGCCGAGGTCTGTGGTGAGGTGCTGGACGATGTCGAAGATTCGCGGCAGCTCTGTGTTGAACTCGGTCTTGAGGCGCATGACGGCTTTCTCGAGGTCCATGCCACGCTTCGTGTTCTTGCTCGACTTGAGGTCGGCCGCAAGGCTCTGCAGCTTTGAGACGAGTGGTTTGAGGTCGTTGTTCAGATTGGTCAGCACCGTCGTGACCTCGGCCTCGGACTGGACGGCGTTGATCACAGAGTAGTATTTCTGCAGAACAGGCTGGAACTGGTTCATCGCGCTGACAACTTCCATTGAGACGTCGCGGCTGGTAATCTGCTGGGTGGTGGGCAGCCATGCCGCCGCCAGCGGCCATGGTGACGAGAAAGACATTGAGCTTGAGGAACTGCATTTTGAATCGAGAGGAGGGATGCGAGAATGGATAAGGCAGAGAAGGATGGAGAGCCAGGATGAAAATGTGGTTTGCTTGGAAGCTTGCTGGTGGAAACGCTCGCCTCCCATCGGCATCTGCAGATGTGCGAGGAAGCCACAACGTCGGCTCCGGTAATCTGTGGACGCTTCAAGGTATACCAAGGATACAGATGGGCGGCGAGGTCGGCCCTGTTGTTGCTGCGGCGATCACAAGCGAGAAGCAAAAAATCGAAGAGAGCTGCTCGAACTTGAGGTTGAAAGGTGCCAAAATGACCCGGAGAGGGCAAGTGCTAGTGTTGGCACGGATTATGTAGCCTGCACCTCGCCTTCTAGAGGATCGCGAATGCGGCGAGGACCGCTCGACTTCCCCTCCATGGTCACTTGTATAAACCCTACCACTCACCTGATTATACTGGCAGCGCGATGGGAACACTATGACATTTCTCTGACCAGTTCGTACGGACTTTACCGCGATTTGACTACAGGTCAAGCCTTCACCTTGTCCCTCGTCAGACAGAGCAAGCGTGCAATAGCCCGGTGGACCGCTAACATGCTGGTGATCAGATCGGGGGTGCGGTGCCGTGTGTCGTGCTGCATTGCGTTGCGATGCAGCACCGAAAGAGATATCAATATGTGATGTGATCCCCGTTTGAGACTAATCGAATTACAATTGATCCGTACAAACACATTGTGCCCTTCATCCGTTCTAAGTTCATACAAGCATATTTGACCTACCGCACTAATATCGCTCTTGCAAATTGGAATAATCGACCCCCTTCAATATCTTTTTTCGTAGAAAGTGCACACTGCCGCCTAATGCAGCAGTCGCTGCCATGCAGCTGCCGACCCAGATGATGAGCGCGGCGTAGCCATAGCTCCCGAAGACCGCTTTACCGGGTGCAGCTCCCTGCTGCGACTGCTCAAGTAAAGCAGCTGCGATCAGCGGGCCGATGAGACTCGCCACTCCCTTGATGGCACCATAGCTCATCAGGATCGAGCTCGTTTGTGTGTTCCGAATGCGCGCCACGTCGCCGCATGACGCGGCCCACGTTGCTGTAAAGCCACCGGCAGAGATTCCGAAGAGGACGATGAAAACAACAATGGCGGAGATGCTCGTCGACAGTCCAAAAAGGAGCAAGGCGGACAGAGAGGAAACTGTACCGACGACCATCGTCACCAGCGGGTATGGCAGGCGGTCGCAGGCATGTCCACTTCAGCAGAGACCATGCAGCGTCGAGTCAGTACTAATTGAGCGATCTCCAGACCCTTGAAATGGAAGTCACAGGCACGCACAGGATCAATTGGCCAATGGCTGCAGCGGCGTTTAGGATCGCAACTCCGGCAGTCGCCGCTGGCGGTGCAAGAACGTCAGGGCTTGGGATTCCAGCTTCGCCGCATGGGATTTGCCACTTACCGGTGGTAGACATTCCTGCAGTCTCGATGTATAGTGAAATGTACAGCGAGATGCTCAAGTAGCCGGCGGACAGCACGAACACCGTGGCAGCCTGTAGAAAGTAGCCTACTTCAATTTCTCGTTTGCACGCTCCTCCGCTCCCGACCTGCAGCGCTCACGTTCAAGAGGTAGAGCTGCGACGTCACAAAACCGAAGCCGCGGGGCGAGAGCCGCTTGATGAGACTTTGATCCTTTGTAGCATTTGGGCGAGGTGTCTGCGTTGCAGTCGGCCGTTGGACAGGCAATCGAGGCGACATAAATAGGACGGCGGGGGCACAACAAACCATCAGGCCAGCGTAGATCCGTAGCGACCACCTCCATCCAAGCTGACTCAGTGTAGCCTGAAACAGGAACGGGAATGTGATACCCCCGAGTGTCGAACCGGAAAAGATCAAGCCCGAGGCAAAGCCTCTTTTCTTGTCGAACCACTGTGGGAGGAGCAAAAGCACCGGTGTGAATGCCAGCCCGGCTCCCAGACCAGCTCCGACACCTTGAAGAGCGATGAGCGCAGGGACACCGTTTGCAAAGCTTGCCGCGAGAAGGCTAGCGACAGCGATGAGGAGGCCGGCGAAGGCGATGTGTTTGGTGAGGTAGGCGTACTTGCGAAACACGGGCACGAATATGCCACCGCTGAGATATGAAAGTGCGGCTAAAGCGGTGCCAATGGCCGAAATACTGACGGGGGACGCTGTGCCAGCAAACACTGTCGTGTAATATTGCTGAAAGATACCCAAAGAAAAAGCCGTGCCCCAAAGAATGAACTCGAGAACCCATGCACAAGCAACAAATGTGTATGCGGCGCGCCCTTTATCGACCGGTGGTAACGCCGTCGCCAATCCTTCTTGCATTTGCGCATGTTCACTCGCCGTCCGAACCAGCTCGGATTGAGAGCCTGAGCGTGAGATTGATTGCAGACCTGGAGGAGTGCTCGGACGACTTTCGTGGTGGACAGAGGCAGCGGGCGTTTGCGAGGTGCTGAAGGCGCCGCCAGAGTCGACGTGCTCTAGCCACGGTTGCTGCTTGGGCAGTGGCTCAAGTGCAATGCCATCCATCGTTGCCACCTTTCGTTCGGACCGCAAGCTCAGAGTCCTATGCTACCGTCGACAACATCTGCGTCAGAGAGCCTGACAAATAAAAAACCAGCCTGTTTTATACGAGATTCCTGCTTTGCGCTGGAGATCGAATTTCTGAGCCGCTGCTGATTCCGCTTGACAGGTCAACCCCGTCAAAGTCGAAGTGACTCATTGTCGCATACACTTGCGGAAGTGTAAACTTTAAGCTCAACTTCGTGACTCTTGGATATGGGTTCTCACTTCCGTCCCTGCCATACGCATGCAGCCGTGGGCTGGAGAGGACACGTCCCAGCCAGGCACACATGCGGCAGTTGCAGAGCTGGAAGATTTCCATGGCATACTATGCGAGCTACCTAGCTGCTCTTGACTTTACCACGCTAGACCTGGCAAGCACATCGCGATGCGCACAAGGGTTTAATAGTCGAGGAACTTAGGCAAATTCGATATTCCTCGAAGGATTGAAATTATACGGTAAAGTGGGAACGCTTCAAATAGCAGAGCAAGAGAAGGGAGGGAAATGAAGCTGAAAAAACTATGTAGCCGCCCTGTGTAGGCCCAGCTTGTGGTGGTGTCCGCGCAGGCAGGAGTCCAGCCCCGTGCTAATCATTGCCGGAAGGCAAAGACTAAGGGAAAGCGAATGTGATGAGCGTCGAAAGATAACGAGTGTGTGGTGTGTGGATGTGAAAGAGTGTGTGGGGCATCTGAGCACCCTTGAGTCGAACCGAACCGAATTAAGCTGAGGGGACGATCAGCCGAAATTGGAGAAACCGAAACTTGTCGACATCAAAGGGGTAATGAAGATGGAAGGACTGGAAATAAAGAGGCCGTCGCTGCCTACCCTACGAACCTTTACACCGGGGTAGAGTCACCAACCATTCAAGGCCGCGAGGTCTGCGAGACGGAAATACCGTGCCGTGGATGCCCTGATGTCAGTGCAACGCCGTATGCGTGGCTGGCTGTGTGCTGTTGCGGCGTGCCGTAGTTGGACTGGCGGTTGCTGGTCGCGGGTGCGATGAGCGAGCCGCGACCTCCAGTCTGTCCCGTGGAGAGCGCCATGCCGTGCTGCTCCTCGTACTCGAGCTGAATGCGCTGCGACGGGGTCAGGCTCGTCATAGAGCGATTGGACTCGCCGTGCTCAGAGGCGGACGCGCGCTCGGTATCGCGAGAGGCACGGTTGGTGACGAGCGCCTCGACAGCAGCACCGGTGCCAATAGCACCAGCAGCCACGCTGCTGTAGCCTGGGTCCACGAACGGGTTCTCACCAGGTGGGCTGAGGCTGCGAGGGCGCTCTGACATCTCGCCATCGTGGTGGGACCAGACCTCTGCGAGCTGGCCGCCGTTCATGACGCGGTCTTGCTCCATCTGGCTGGGCGCCCAGGTCTCGCGCAAGCCAAATGAGCGGATTGTCGGCGCGCGTGTGACGCCAGTGGAGGGTGCAGTCTCCTTAGACTTGCGCTGCTTTCGCCAGATGAGAAAGAGGATGGCGGCGATCAGGATAGCACCAACGGCGGAGCAGACACCTATAAGCGCATCGCGGACGGTCTTGTTGTGGTCATTGCCTGAGGCAACGGTGTTGAGTTGCGCACCAGATTTGGAGACACCTGCGGTGTTGAGAATGTTGAACGTGGGATCAATGTAAGACGCAAGCTGGGTAGACGCCGTGCCCTTCTGACCCTTGTACAGCGCCGAGCTGGTGTTGCTGACAGCCGACTGCAAGTTCTTTACCTGGTCCGTGGGGATGTATGCGAGCCAGGTGGTCAGGGCGTGCCAGTTGGTGTTGTCCGTGTCGTTTGCCTGATGCCATGCAGCGAATTCGTCCGTGGTAACCGAGCTCTGTGATACATTCAGCGCCTGCAGAGAAGAAAAAAAAGAAAAGCGCATCCACTCGCCGTATCAGCACACAGCACACCTGTACACACCACGTTGCACATAAAATGAGTGCATGCTGTGCTGCGCTGTACATCTACTCACCGTCGCAACGATGCCGGGCATCAACTTGAACATTTGCGCGGGGAAGGAGCCGGCGCTGGGGCCGACGACGGAGTACCACATGATGGACGCATTGAACAGGATCGCGACGCTGGTCGTGTTGAGCGGCTGCACGGGCACGCCGCCGACGGGGATGAGCGTGTCGGGCAGCGGCGCACGCATTGCCGTGCCGCTGCCAGTCGCGCTGGGCGCCGCTGCCGCCGCGCCGCCCGCGGGAGCATTGCCGCTGCCGCTGCCGTCGCCATCATCGCCATTGCCGAGCATAAGCGACGACGTCGGTACAAAGTTGTACGGGTCGGGTCCCTGTACGACACCAGTGTCGCCGCCAGAGGCGCCGGTAGCTGCAGGCGTGATTTGCGCGCCGTCTGCAGAGTGCGAGGCGCTAGGGCGGCCGCCACCGCCGAGGATGTTGCCATCGCCGTCGGCACCAGAGCCGGAGCCTGCGCCGGGAGAAATGGGAAGGGGCAGGGGTGCGTGGGTAGGATTGCTGGTGCCACTGCCACTGCCACTGCCGCTGCCGTCACCGTTGCCATTGCCCTTGCCAGGGTCGTTGCAACCCCCGAGAGTGATGAGCCCGTTCAGCGTGCCTCGAAGGCCGCTGCCGCACTTGTTGCCATCGCCGCTGCCGTCGCCTTTGCCGCTGCCGTCGCCTTTGTCGCTGCCGTCGCCTTTGCCGCTGCC